TTACTCTTCGGAGCAGCTGGCTCAGGTTTACATTCGCGATATTGTTAGGCTTTATGGCGTACCGGTATCTATCATCTTTGACCGGGGTACGCAGTTTACATCATGGTTCTGGAGAGCCGTACAATGGGAGTTGGGTACTCGTGTGGAGTTGAGAACAAGATTTCTCCCTCAAATGGACGGATAGTCCGAGCGCACTATTCAGATATTTGAGGATATTCTTCGTGCGTGTGTGATAGATTTTAGGGGTGCTTGGGACCAGTTCTTGCCACTTGCATAGTTTCCTTACAACAACAGTTATCAGTTGAGCATTCAGATGGCTCCGTATGAGGCCTTATATGGTAGGCGGTGCCGGTCTCCAGTAGGTTGGTTCGAGCCGGGCGAAGCTAGGCTATTGGGTACAGACCTAGTTCAGGATGCTTTGGAAAAGGTTAAGTTGATTCAGGATCGACTTCGTACAGCCCAATCGAGACATAAGAGTTACGTGGATCGGAAGATTCGTGATGTTGCATTCATGGTTGGTGAGTGGGTCTTGCTCCGGGTTTAGCCTATGAAGGGTGTTATGAGGTTTGGAAAGAAGGGAAAGTTGAGCCCGAGGTATATCGGACCTTTTGAGATTCTAGAAAGAGTTGGAGAGGTGGCTTACAGACTTGCACTACCACCTAGTCTCTCTGCAGTCCATCCAGTGTACCATCTTTCCATGCTCCGAAAGTATCACGGTGATCCGTCTCATGTGTTAGACTTCAGTTCAGTCCAGTTGGACAAGGATCTATCTTATGTTGAGGAACCAGTGGCCATTTTGAACAGACAGGTTAGGAAGTTGAGATCGAAGAGCATTGCTTCAGTAAAGGTACAGTGGAGGGGTCATCCGGCAGAGGAGGCAACTTGGGAGACCGAGCATGATATGCGCAGCTGCTATCCTCATCTTTTCACCACTCCAGGTATAATTCTAAACTCGTTCGAGGATGAACGTTTGTTTAAGAGTGGGAGGATGTAACGACCCGACCAGCCATTTTGAGAGTTGTAGCCCCATTACCCCATTTACTGCTCAATTTATGCTTTATAGTTGTTATGTGACTTGCCGGGGTGATTAGTTTGGGTCATGTGAAGTTTTAGGAATGAATTGGATCACTTAGTTCCAAGGTTTAAAGTTTAAGTTGAAATAGTGACCGGATGTCGACTTATGTGTAAACAACTCCAGAATAGAATTTTGATGATTCCAATAGTTTCGTATGGTGATTTGGACTTAGAAGCGTGTCCGAAATTTTATTTGGAAGTCTGTAGTTAAATTAGGCTTGAAATAGCTAAAATAGAAATTTAAGCTTAACCGGGGAGTTGACTTTTTGATATCGTTGTCGGAAACCAGTTCTGAAAATTTTAATAGGTTTGTTATGTCATTTATGACTTGTGTGCAAAATTTGAGGTCAATCGGACTTGATTTGATAGGTTTCGACATCGAATGTAGAAGTTGGAATTTATAAGTTTCATTAAGCTTGAATTGGAGCATGATTCGTGGTTTTAGCATTGTTTGATGTGATTTGAAGTTTTGGACTAAGCTCGTATGATATTTTAGGACTTGTTGATGTGTTTGGTTGAGGTCACGGGGTCCTCGGGTGAGTTTCAGATGGTTAATCGGATCAATTTTCGAACTTAGGCAAATTCTAAAAATTTGCAGCTTCTTGTGTCATCGCACCTGCGGAGGGACTGACCGCAGGTGAGAACTCGCAGAAGATGAAAGGGGGATGGTGAGGCAGTGGTCGCAGGTGCGAAGGAAATTCTGTACCTGTGTGACCGCAGATGCAGACGAGAAGGGCGTAGAAGCAGAGGCAGTGCTGGCCTGAGCAGACCGCAGAAGCACTGACCAAATTACAAAACAGAGGGGTTCCGACATTTGTCATTTTAGACATTTTCAACACGGTTTGGGGAGATTTTTTAGAGACAATTCTCGGGAAAACTTGAGGTAAGTCACTTATGATCATTGTTAGTCAATAATATTGAAGTATCATTGAGCATTTCGACTAGATTACTGCTTTTTGAGGTAAAATTAGAGGATTTGGGCCTAGGGATTCGAAAATAAGATTTGATGATTTGAAGGTCGAGTTGATGTCGGAATTTAGTAATTTTGGTATGGTTGGACTCGTGATTGAATGGGCGTTCATATTTTGTAACTTTTATTGGGTTCCAAGATGTGGACCCCATGGGAAATATATGAGTTAAATTTCAGATTTTGTTGAAAAATTAATATTTTCATATGGAATCAATTCCAATAATTTGTATTGATTGAATCGAATTAATTATGACTAGATACGAGGCTTACAGAGGCCAATTCACGAGGCAAAGGCATAGGGGAATAAAGAATTACCTGGTTCGAGGTAAGTGACTTGTCTAACTTTGTATGGGGGGAATTTCCCTTAGGATTGGTATTGGTATGATAATCGTAATGTGTGAAAAGTCGTATACGCGAGGCTACGAGTGTGTACACGGGCTAAATGTGAGAAACTCTGGTTTTAAATTATGTAGATATTTGTTACACATTAATTAAATGATTTTATTCGGTTATATTCATCATCATTGATCTATTTTTATATTTTAAATTTGCCTGACATTTTTGCTACTAATTGCTTTACCTGTTTAGTTGAAACTTTGTTTCTTTTATTCTGTGCTAAATATTTGAAGGTTCAATTTCTTAATTGAATTATTATTAATATGAAGTATTTGACATTTTTAAATTTGGTATTGAGGCAACGTGCTCAAAATTGTGAAATATTATTTTTGCTGAGTTATTCATTCCCAAATATTTTGTGAGATTTTTTACTCATTGTGCTTGAGCCATGACTTTCTTATTGTGGAAAAATATTATTGTTGTTGATTTATTTTGGCAAGTTGAAATATTTGGGCACTTGAGGTGCAAATTATGATATTGCTACGCATGCGGTGGTATAAGGTCTGGGTGTTGAAACGCATGCGATGAGATAAGGGTGGCTTGTTACACGTGGCTAGTAGGGGAACTACTAGAAGTCATGCGGTGTGATAAGGGTGGCTAAAATGCGGGACGCTATTTTCGAAAAAAATATTTTCTTTAAAATTAAATATGAAGGCTCCCGCGATGATATAAGGAAATGAGATATTGTGAATTTATTTATGATTTGGGACTACGAGGAGGTACCTCGGGAGTTCCCCTTGTTGATATTTCTTTATGGCTGCATTTGCCTTTGGTTATTTTGATGTTTTCCTTAAAGTTGTAAATTTCTGTTTTCCTTCCGCGAGGTGTTATTTGCCCTTATTCTGTGTAGTTAAACTGTGACATACTACTTTATTTATCCCCATTGTCATTTTTATTATTATATTGTTAAACTTTTCTCCATGTCTTTTATTATTTCCAGTAGGGCCTGACCTAACATCGTCACTACTCTACCGAGATTTAGCTTGCCACTTACTGGGTACCGATATGGTGTACTCATACTACGCTTCTGCACATCTTTTTGTGAAGATCCAGGTACTTTTTATCAGACCAAGCATTAGTGAACTAGCTGCACGCGGACACTTCAAGGTATATCTGCCAGCATTCGTAGACCTCGGAGTCCTCTTCTATCATTATTGTGTTATTTTCCTTATTCTCTTTAGACTCTGATGTATAGAGACATCTAGAAAAAATTCTTAGAAGCTTGTGACTTATTTCTACCAGGTTTTGGGAGTTGTAATTATTTGAATTGCAGTTTCTTTTATTTCATATTTCTATTATATTATTCTGCATTGATAGGCTTACCTAGTCTTAGAGACTAGGTGCCATCACAACATCCTACGGAGGGAATTTGGGGTCGTGACAGGATGCTAGTTAAGTGTCCACACCATGGCATTCTGGATCAGATGTTGGGACAAAGGTTCTACATGGGATTGGCAGACAGCTTGAAGGCCAATGTTGATGCTTCAGCATGTGGAGCATTTTTTAGCAAATCATTTAGAGAATGTAAGGTCCTGCTAGATAAAATGGCTCAAAACTCAGGGTGGATGACAAGAGACCCTACAATCACCTTGTAGTTCACTCAGTATCTTTGTACCCAAACAACTCCATAGCCGAGAATATGGCCACTCTAATGACACAAATGAGTATCCTCACCAAGAAGATTGATGAATCAGGCCAGAAGCAGGTACACATAGTTGACATGACTAATGGTGGATTATGTACACCATGCATTAACCAACCATACGTGTGTTCGTGGAGTGGTGAAAGTGACAACCAGAATTATCAAGAGAACATGAACTATATGGGCAACTATAGAGGCCAGAGGCAAGGTGGTCAGAATAGGGGGTAGCTAAATCAGCAATATAGACCAGCACATCAACAATACAATAACACCAACAATACTGGAGCTATGCGACCACAGGGTCAAGTAGTACCTTACCAAAGGCAACAGGGGTACAGTCAGCAAAATCAGCACCTAGCTTATCAACAACCTCAACAACAACAGCTAGTGAGACAAGATGATGGGTTGTCTGAAATTAAAGGAATGTTGCAGTAACTGATTGGGTCTAATGGAAAAATGCAAGAGAAGGTGGAAGCACATGAGTTAGCGATTGAGATTCAATTAGGGTAGATATCTATGGCTCTTAATAATCGTCCCCAAGGGACTTTGCCTGCAGACACACATGTCAATCCGAAGGAGCAGGGCCCAAATCAGCTTATGGCAGTGAGCTTGAGAAATGGTAAAGATCTTGATTTAGAGCACGAAATTGCTCGTGAGAGCCGGTCAACTGAAACACTTGTGATAGTGCCAATTGAGTTAGATGAGTCAACTGAGCTAACAGAAGTAAGAGTGCAACCAGCCCAAGAGGAAATAAACAAGGAAAAAGAGGTTGTGAAGGAGACTGAGAAAGTGCAAGAGAAGGCATTAGAAAAAATTCCCGAGAAGGACCTAACTCAAGCTACAGGAAAGAAGCGACCTCTGGCACCCTTCCCGCAGAGGTTGGACAAATATTAGAAGGAAAAACAATACAAAAAAATCATGGAAATGCTGAAGCAAATTCAGGTAAGCATTCCTCTAATTGATGCTTTGAGGGAGATGCCCGGTTATGCAAAAATGATGAAGGACTTGATGTCTCATAAGTTCGACTTCCAAGACTTGGCAACTGTCACATTGACACAGACTTGTAGTGTTGTTGTGTCAAGACCTATAGCTGAGAAGTTATCCGACCCTGGAATCTTCATAATTCCATGCACCATAGGTAGCTATGCATTTGCCAAAGCATTGTGTCATTTGGGAGAAAGTATAAATCTGATGCCATTGTCTATCTATAAAACGTTATGCATTAGAAAAGCAAGGCCCACATCCATGTTACTGCAACTAGCTGGCCGAACGGTGAAAAGGCCATCAGGTATACTTGACGATGTACTTGTGCAAATTGGAAAAATCATGTTTCTAGCAGATTTTATCATTCTGTAATGCAAGGTTGATGAGGAGATTCCCATAATTTTGGGAAGGCCATTCTTGGCTATAGGGAGAGCTTTGATTGATTGTTAAATGGGAGAGCTGAAGATGAGGCTGAATAATGATGTAATCATGGAGGAAGATAATAAGGCACTTAATGCAAAAGACCATCTAACAGCCTACCTTATGAACTTAGAAGAAGTAAATGGTGAGGACTTGGCAGAATGGATGTTGGCTCTTCAAGGGCAAGGGTACTGGAAAAGAGAGCTCGAATTCGAGCCTTTACACTCGGAAGAGAGAAAGAACCCTCCAACCAAGCCATCAATCGAAGCACCACCACAATTGGAGCCGAAACCGCTACCATCTCACCTTAGGTATGCTTTCTTGGGACCTAATTCGACTTTACCTATTATTATCTCATCTGGTTTGTTAGATGTACAGGTAGAACAACTTTTGCAGGTGTTGAAAGAGTGAAAGAATGAAATTGGTTGGACCATTACAGACATTAAGTGTATCAACCCGGCCTTCTGTATGCATAAACTTCTACTGGAAGAGGGGCACAAACCTTCCAAATAACATCAAAGAAGGCTGAACCCTAACATGAAGGAAGTTGTAAAGAAGGAAGTGATCAAGTGGTTAGTTGCGAGAATTATTTTTCCTATCTCAGATAGCAACTGGATTAGCCTAGTTCAGTGTGTGCGAAAGAAAGTTGGGATGACTGTTGTGGAAAACGAGAACAATGAATTAATCTCAACAAGAATAGTCATGTGATGGTGAATTTGCATGGACTACAGAAGATTGAACAAGGCCACCCGAAAAGATCACTCCCCTTGTCGTTCATTGATGAGATGCTAGATAGATTGGCAAGGAGGTCCCATTTTTGCTTCTTGGATGGATACTCGGGGTACAATCAGATATCTATTGCCCCGGAGGATAGAGAGAAACGTCATTCACCTGTCCATGTGGCATTTACACTTTTCGGAGAATGCCGTTTGGCATATGCAATGCACCCACCACATTCCAAAGGTGCATGATGGCCATTTTCATAGATATGATAGAGGATATAGTGGAGGTTTTCATGGATGATTTCTCAATGGTGGGAATTCTTTTGATGATTGCCTTAGAAATCTGAAAAGAGTGTTGCGGAGATGTATGGAGACAAATCTGGTGCTGAATTGGGAAAAATGCCATTTTATGGTACATGAAGGTATAGTCTTGGGACACCTAGTGTCAAGTAAGGGCATTAAGGTGGACCATGCCAAGATTTATGCAATAGAGAATCTGCCACCACCCACTTCCGTCAAGGCAATAAGAAGTTTCCTTGGTCACGCCGGTTTTTACAGTCGGTTCATAAAAGATTTTTCCAAGATTGCTAACCTTTTGTGTAAATTGCTTGAAAAAATCACCTTTTGTGTTTTTTGATGACTGCAGGGTAGCTTTCGAAGGATTGAAGAAGAGGCTAGTGTCTGCACCTATCATAGTTGCACCAGACTGGGAGCTACCATTTAAGCTGATGTGTGATCAAGTGAGCATGTCGTGGGAGCAGTACTTAGACAAAGAAAAGAAAAAATCATGCATCCAATCTACTATTCAAGTAGAACATTGAATGGCGCTCAACTGAATTACACAGTGACAGAAAAAGAGATGCTAGCAGTGGTGTTCGCATTTGACAAATTCTGGTCCTACTTGATAGGCTCGAAGGTAATTGTTTATACTGACCATGCTTCTCTCAGGTACCTAATTGATAAAAAATAAGCAAAGTTGCGCCTAATTCGATGGGTTCTACTGCTGCAAGAGTTCGACTTGGAAATTCGTGACCGAAAAGGAACGGAGAACCAAGTTATCGATCACTTGTCCAGGCTTGAATGAGCTGAAACGAAGGTGGAGGTAGAAGATATCATGGAGACTTTCCCTGATGAACAACTGTTATCCATGAGCCTTGAGGAAGTGCCATGGTATGCAGACGTTGCAAACAACCTGGCAAGTGGTATTGTTACCTATGAATTGTCTTTTGTGCAGAAGAAAATGCTCTTTTGTGATTGTCGCATGTATTTCTGGGATGAGCCTTATCTGTTCAGGATTTGTGTTGATAACATGATCCGGAGATGTATCCTCGAGACAGACCAATCTTCTATTTTGCAGGCTTGTCACGCATCCCTATATGGTGGCCATTTTGGGGGAGTAAGGACAACCGCGAAAGTGTTGGAGTCGGGCTTCTACTGGCCGACATTGTTCAAATATGCACACCTCTAGGTCAAGAGTTGTGATGAATGACAACGGAACGGGAATATTTCTCGCTGACATGAGATGCCCATGAACCCAATTTAGGAAGTGGAAGTCTTTGACGTATGGGGAATCGATTTCATGGGGCTTTTTGTGAGCTCATATAGCAACAAGTACATACTTGTAGCTTTGGACTATGTGTCAAAATGGGTGGAAGCTATGGCAATCCCTACAAATGATGCAAAGGGAGTCATTGGTTTTTTTAGAAAGAATATATTCACCCGGTTTGGCACTCCAAGGGCAATAATCAGTGATAGAGGCACTCACTTCTGCAACCGAGCTTTTGCAAAGTTGTTAGAAAAATATGGTGTTAGCCACATGGTTTCCACCCCATATTATCCACAAAAAATTGGGCAAGTGGAAGTGTCGAATAGAGAAATAAAGATTGTGTTAACAAAGACCGTGAATGCTACACGAACAGATTGGGCAAGAAAGTTAGATGATGCACTCTGGCTTATCGTAACACTTTTAAAACCCCAATTGGCATGTCTCCATATAAACTGGTGTTTGGGAAAGCGTGTCACTTACCCGTGGAGTTGGAGCATAGAGCTTTGTGGGTATTAAGGCAGCTGAATCTCGACATGGAAATAGCGGGTATACGTAGAATCACAGAGTTGCATGAGCTTGATGAGTTTCGCTACCATGCTTTTGAGAGTACAAGGCTATATAAGGAGAGAATGAAGATGATGCATGAGAAAAATATTCTTGAGCAAAATTTTAAACCTGGAGATGTGGTATTGCTATACAATTCGAGATTGAAGTTGTTTCCGGGCAAGTTGAAGTCAAGATGGTCAGGACCATTTCGTGTGGTAGAGATGCATCCCGCCGGAGCTGTAGAAATTGCATCAGAAGATGGCTCCCTTAAGTTTAAAGTTAACGGGAAAAGGCTAAAACATTTTCAAGGTATGGTCGAGGAAGATAAAGTGATCTCAATCATGTACTTGAAGGATCCTTGATAAGGGATAGCCGAGTCATGCCGCGACGTTAAATTAGGTGCTTCGTGGGAGGCAACCCATTGTAATGTTGTAAATTCGTCGTGCCGCAATGTTAAATCAGGCGCTTGTTGGGAGGCAACCCAATTTTCTTGTTTTCGTCTAGTTATCATTTAGTCACATTAAAAAAAATATGGGGGGCAGCGAAGCTCGCTTTGCGAGACCGAGACCAAGAATGTTGAGGAAAAAACTGTTAGGGACAGCGAAGTGTGCCTCGCTTTGCGAGACCGGGACCAAAAGAGAAAGAAAAAGAGAAGAGGGGACAACGAAGTGTGCCTCGCTTCGCAAGACCGGGACTGGTCATAGCTGAACCAGGTAAAGGGGAGTGTCTCCAGGCCGTGCGGTCCTAGCACGACCCCAGGTATTTTTATTTTTTTCTATTTTTCTCATTAATTCTCCAAATTAAAATAATGGCACTAGGTCCTCAGCTTGACCCGAGTGATTTTGAGGGAGTTTTTGACACCCACTCTACTTTTGATCTTACATATTTATATTTCTATGATATTGTGCAACTAAGGACAGTGCACTTCTTAAGTGTGGGGTGGGGTGTCAAGCTTTAATTTTTATGGCTTGTGCTTAATTGCTAGTGATACATTTTAAATTGCATGATCACTCTTATAGCCATTGTAATTGTATAATTATAGTATTTTTTTTTGTAGTGGCTTAATCCCGGGTTTTCTTTAAACCACAGTTCTTTCCCGAGGATGCCAGTTTCTTGAACCGAGTAGTTTGGTAGACTTTTTTTTTTCAAGATTTGTAAAGAATTATGGATTTTTCTCGACGATGGATTATCGAGACAGTTTTCTTGAGGGACTAAAGTCTAAAGAAAATACAAAAAGATTTTTTTTTGTTTCTCTTTTATGTTGGTTTTTGGTTGAACTGACAATGGAATTAGGAAAAAGCTTGAGTAATTTGTGCTTTTGACATGTTTTATATCAAGGCTTAGGTCTGGAGCATTTGAACTAAGTACTTTCTTCATGATCTTTATAATTACATGTCTTGACAATATGTGTGGCTTCCTTTTGGCACCAAGGCTCGTCTCTAGACTCTTGTGATTATTTTCTATGTGCTGAAAGTTTATGATAGCTGTGCTAGTTGCTTTAACTCGAGTGTCAGATCTGAGCCGTCCTAAATGAGTCATGTGCATTGTGTGAGGTGAGACTTTAGTATACTATGTGTTATCCTTGCTAGTCTAGAACTTGCCCCGTGTGTGAGTCTAAGTGAAATGATTACGTCTTGTAAGTTTGGGAAGTGATAGAGGCTTTCTTTGATTGACCATTTAGCCTATTTTCCTACCAGTGCTAATATTATCCGTAGTCAACCCTTTTTAGCCTATAGACCTTTTTTTTTCTGCAACCACATTACAAGCCGAATCCTTTTTGTTCTTAATCAAATCTTGTTGGACCTTTACCTCCGAAAGCACCTAAGTAGCTAGAAGAGTAAATAAAGAGAGTGGGTAGCTTTTGAGTAGAACCATAAAAAGGCCGAAAAGGTGCACTTGTGTATAAAAAAATACTATCCAGAAATACCAAATTGAAGAGAGTGAAAAAAAAAAAAGGAATAACACCTCTCATGTCTTTGTCTGGATTAGTAAGTATCTATATGTTGATATTCTTAATGAAGAAGGGCCTAAATGTGTATGGTTTCATGGCAAGACATCGAATTGGTCAAGACAATAAGGTGCTTAAAAGTGAATTGTAGTGTACTAAAGTTCTTAGGAGGGTTAGTCACTATTTTCTC